CCTTAAAAAGGTGTATATGAAGAGATGCTCTAATGAATGAGAGAACAGCTAAGTAAAACACTGGATGATCTTCTCTTTTTTTTTTTTTCCCCCCCACAAGGTTTTGGGTAAGCTCAAGACTCAACTCTTCTCCTAATTTTCAGGCTCACACATTTCATATTTTCACACAACAGAAGCCCCATTCACTTTGCACAATTGCCGAGATGATGAGCAAGGTCTCAGCAGACTGGTTAGTTTTACATTCCAAGTGCCCTGAAAACCCTGTTCTCTGAAGCATTTCAGACTGGTCTGTGTGTTGCTTTACGCACCTTACTATCTAACCACTTTTTTACCAAATTTAAAGACTACCACTAAAAGGAACTTAGATTTTTCAGCAAACAGATTTCATTTTTTTCTAATATCCCACAGTTCTGATTTCATCTCACACAATCTATAAACATCAAATCCTTCAAAAAAACATTTTTATGGAAGGTCTTATCTCATTTCCCCCCCAAAAAACCTCACATTCCAGAGCACCAACCCGAGGCATAAGAACGGGGACCTCAAGAAAAGTGGGATTCTTCCCAGAAAACTAATACAGTCCTCGAAAAAACTCAGACTGTCATAAAACCTGAGCAGCTGGCAACTCTGTCACCATGAAGTATCCATATGGAAGACCGAGATGTGTCAAACTACCCAAAACGAGCTTGGATAGTGCAGAAGATGGAATAAATAATTCAGTATCTTCAACACTTTCAACAGCAGGTAGTAGATATGCTACCTGCTCCTACAACATGCCAAAATGTAACATGCGAGTGAGAGCGAGCGAGAGAATGTGAGTATCTCCAACCTGTTTTCATGAGGATATTTTGCTCGAGGAACTTCTCTTTTTAGAGGCATATGATCCGTATCAGATGTTTGTCAGGAGCAGGCAGCACTACAGAACATTAGGGATAACCTAGTGATTTTAAGATATATTCACAAAGCATATACTCCTTCATATACGAAAAAAAACCCAAACCCACGTATCTGAATTAAATATTACAAATAAAAAATGAGGGAAGTGCAAACATTTATTTATCCCAACTGCCCTTCACACTTCCATAATATTTGTTGCTGAGGCATAGTGGCAACTTTCCTGCCTTCACATAAACCCAGCAGACTATTCAGCGTGACCAGCGAACCAGCACTCAGATACAATTTAAATGTTTTTGCTCCGCGTTCACGCAATAGTTCAACTACAAAACTACACTGTGCAGTGTCAATCTTCTTTTCCTCTAAGAAACTGTCGCACACTGGTGCATAAATGTACATGATTTATATACTTATGGAAGACAAAGTGATGCTTCTGTTCCCTAAGAAATTAAAATAAGACCATTTAATGCTTAAAAGTCTCCAGATCTGTATTCAGAGGACCAAACCCCTACCCCGCATGGAGATATTTATCGACCAGTATTTCCCCAGAATCACAGGGACAGCAGGTAGACCAAAATTCAAAAGCGTATCAATAAGGAAAATGCCAGTTTTTGTGGATTCCACACTATTTTCGGCCACTATACTTTTTTTCGAGAGGTTTTTTTTTCCCCTCGGCAAAGCTCGCGCTTGCTACCAGATTTGAGCGATTACACCAAAAGGGCTGAATGACCGCCTGAAGTGAGATTTCAAAGAAGTGAGACAAATACTCTCCTATATTCAAAACCTGCCAAACATATTTCATCAGACTTTCAAAAAATAATTGTTTTGTCTGTTCTGAATTAAGCTTTAAGTGCTGGAAGAGAGGTTTCTCTACGAACACGGCTAAAGATCACAAAGGGGAGCATTTGGATTGAATGTAAGCCTTCACTCATATATTTATTTAATAAAACTTGCATCATGCCTGGCATATAACATACACCGTTTTCTTTCCATTCACAGAACATGATTTTAAGTGTAACCGGTATCGATGTCCTACAGTTTATTTCACGCATTATTATAAGAGGTTTTTATTTACAATGTCATCAGTGAAAGAAAAGGAATAAAAAAGGGTGTCTGAGCTTTGCAGCTCGGGCAAGGCAGTTGGGAGCCATGGGACCGACGCAAGAGCAGAGACATACAGGAGAGAATTCAGAGAAAAAGAGCATGTACTAAACTTGTGAGAGCATGTGACAGTTCTGAAGCTGAAACCTTTTTCCCATTTTTCTTCTCCAGCTCCTGGCTTGAGAGTTTTGCAGGGTTAATAACTGCACCACTCATTTACAGTCACGTTTGGTCAACTTTTATAACATGGATGTGTTCCCCGAATAAGTAAATCAAGCGCCAACACTGCAAAGTTTTGAGATTGTCCCTATGTGGAAAAATCCAGTCACAAAACAATAAACTACTAATAACGCTTCTAAGCTTTCAGGTGTTTTACAAATCACATTTCTCACATGCAACTATAATATTCTGCAACTTTTTAATTCCTTTTATCATTAAATAAAAGCGCCCAGTGCTGAACACCCATTATTCCCCAGTAACGTGCTGGAGAGATACGTGCCTTTGGGGTTCAAGTCATACATAACAAAGTCAGAAGAATATATGAGATGCTTTCTAATCTTTTAAGATTAAGAAACTGAGGTCAAAGCTTGCTTATCAAGGGCCCCAAAGAGAATCAGGGCCACAGTGAGAACTCAGAAGCCAAGCCGGGCTTGCAGATAAGCTAGCGTCACGATCTACTGATTTAATCAAGGCGTATATTATCACCCTATCTACGTATCTTATGGACCCTGCTCACCACAGCACCTGGCAGACATCCTGAAAGAAAACGTTATCTTCGTGGGACCGTACGCAGAGATTCTGTACTTTCAGATACTGCATTTTCAGGCAAGATAGCAAACGCTTATGTACGTATGTTTGCATGCACACACAGATACGCAACACACAAACGTAACACGCATCTATATGCTATACACACATATATTTTCTGCACTCCTATCAAATCCCGTCATAAACCTGTGAAGCATTTTGAATTAAGCTATTTAAACTGCATCCAGAAAAACTGTGGACAACAGCCGATTTGTTATCGCGGAAAGATCGTGCATCTCTCCATCATGAAAAGCTAAAAATCTGTTCCAGGTGGCTGGTGGACAAGCTTCTATCTGCAAACACTGAGTAAAGTTGAAATAGTTCTGGTCAAGGTCTCCAAATAATCCCATTTTTCCAGTGATGCCTTTGGACCGCACGGAAAGCCTGTCAGGGGCTCCCGAGAAGGAAACTTTTCTTGAGCCGTTTTGTCAAGATGACCAAAGATGTTCTTTGGAAAGTATTTCCAAACAAGTTCTGGAGCACTGGTAGCTGTACAATCATATGGGATTAATTTTCTGTATATATCTCTATATATCGCTGGAAGAAACAAATTAACTTTAAAATTCAAAGATCTTTATACAGCCCTGTGCTCTTAGGTACAAATATTTAAGTAAGCTCTACTTCCTGTCAAAACACTGAGATGGATATTAAATTACATTAAATTATTATAGATAACAAGTAGTAAAATTCCTCTTCTGCTTTCCCTGGGAGCTCCCGCGTCTCGGTATTTCTTGCAGAGTATAAAAGATAATTTAATATTATCTGCGATTCAAATTCCTGCTTCTATTACAACACTAAGTGTGTGCTGGATGTATAACGTCATGCCAGAAGTTGTCTCATGAATATCCACCCAAAAGGGATAACTCTACAAACTGTATTTATTTACTCCGTTCCTTTCCTTAGAATCTTAGGATGATTTCAGGATGCCACCCGTTCATTCACCTTTATTTCTTTTCTTGAAAAGGAATGAATAAACAAAAAAAACCACACACAGATGGAACTTAACCATTGCCGTTCCAAATGAACCCCAAATCCCCCCAACTAAGCCTTATTACCATCACTTGTATGTGCTCAGTATTTCCCCTCAAGAGGGGAAATGGCTTCACATATGGTATTTAAGAAAGGAATATGTTCAGCGTTTATATATTTATATATGTACATACAGACGGAAAATTTCCCTTCCTCTTTCTGCCACAGGACTTGTGGACTGACTGGATGAGAAAGAAGCAAACCAGTAGATAAAGTATAAAAAAACCTTAAATTTCTTCCTCCCTTCATGCTCTCGTGTTTGGATAAATTGCCACAGATCTTATTAGCAAGTATAAAACCAAGGAGGAGCAGGGGCACTAGTAAAGAACATCAAGCCAAAATTACAATCCATCAGGGTGACACAGTGCAGTGTCCTGACCTGTCCCCACCATAGACCTCCTTAGGGCTACTGTTTCAAGGAGAAATAAATGAAAAAAAAATAACCAAACAAGATTACACAGGAACAGTTCAAAATTGACATTTTCCAGCTTTGTGTCATGTTACATTATTTGAACGAATCTCAACTTTTAAAAACATCAAAACACCAGAGAAAAGTGAATGAAGGCGGGGGGAGGGGGGGGAAGGAGCCCTCCTAAGAAATCAGACTCCTACTGGAAGCAAGAGAGCCACCCACGTTGAGTACCAATGGCTTTAAAAATCACTATCTTCTTTTTTTTTGCCGCTTCCATATGAAAAATGTTTATTATTCCATTGGCAATTTTCACCCGTGACCCCACTCAGCTCGGACACGTGGTTTTTGCATGTTCACCTCGGCAGAGTCGCTGGACAAAGTCCAGGGTGCCCACCTCAGCTGCTCTCCCACCCACACGACCTTCAGGGTTCAGGAAGCTCAGCTTTATTGAAAGGACATAGTCCCAAAACGACTGGAAAAGCCCTTCAGAAGGACAGAAAAAAAATACACAGGATTTTCTTCAAAGTTACCCAAGAAATTCGAAGCAGCAAGCACTTGATCTCCCTCTTCTCTCCACTCAACAGCACTTACAGAAAGCCAGCCCTTAACCCTTCTGCACAGGAAAAATTCCCTTTTATCTTCCATTTTTACCTGAAAGGCAGACTAGAGTTGAGCTTTTATGTACAATGAACACAAACTGGACTTTTTTTGCAACGCATTAAGGCTGCGGTCTCCCTCCCTCGACAGGAACGCATACCTGAATTTCCACTGAAAAACAACAAAAAAAAAAAATCAAAAAAACTCAACGATTTTGCCCTTCTGATTTAAGTATGGCATATATTTAACTCAACGTTCATCTCTACATGTTCTCACTGTTTAAGAACTCGGCACAGGTGTTATTAATAAAATATATTTTTTTTAAAAAAAAAAAAAGAAAGGATGCGATCCTACGAGCTTTGAAGCTCACACATAGTCTAACTTAACCCAGCTTGGGCTCATCTGGTCTTTAAACGACTCCTTTCATGTGGTCAGCCCACGAGCCATGCGTACTGCCGCTCAATCACGCCACTGTACATCGTCAGCGCGAGGATGATTTGCATGATTTGCATTTCCTGTCCCGTTGGAGCTTCAAGGAGCTCTAAGCACCACGTACAAAAGAAACCACCGCCAAGTACTGCAAAGATTTTAGTTAAACCAGATGAGGCTGTTTTAGTCAGGCTGCCAACACTGGGGAGGAAAAAAAAAAGTCTCAGGGATATCCTGTTCAATAAGGATTTATTTGGAGGAAATCTGAATCTCAGATTCATAACTGTACTTTGAAATTATGAAAGCTGTATGAATTCGTTAACAAATACAGCCCTGCAGAAAATAGTTCAGCAAGAACATGATTTGGTTTTTTTCAGCATTCCTTAGATTTTGGCACCACGTTATTTTTGCAATTGATTTATTTAATAGTATATAAATGGGTTCTGATTACGTTAGTTTTCCTGCAGTATAAAACTAAATCTAATTAAACCAAATTCACTGAGTGCTGGTTCAAATTTCTCCCTATGAAGAGATCTTTCGGTTTATCACAAATGATCAATAAAAGCTGTCGGACAAATAACTATGATACAAACAGCATTACAGTGACCTTCAATGAATAAGTACTAAAGAAAACAAAAAATAAAAAAATGCACCAGAGCCTCGTTGTCATGAAAAACAGAGACAGATGGGGAGACAGACCTATATGATGCTACAAATAGCTGAATATCTTGTAAGGATTTCAAAAAATGTTTAAGACCTAGTCAATAATTTGAAAAACTAGAGATTTACTTGTGCTGCTCTACGTGAAGTTCACCTGAAATTCAGGCCATAATATAATGATTCTAATCAAGCTTCCAAAATAACGATAAAAATACAGAGTGTCCGTAAAGCATTATTAAGATCTCCGCCAGGCAGTGGCACAATTAATGTCATTATTTAGTACAAACTCTGTGTTAGAAAACATAGAAGATATTAAGAAAGTCAGCTTTAATAGCTACTTTGGAACTAAGATGTATCCCGGTCCCAACTCATAAAGGTGCGTGCACAAACCTCATGTGCATTATTTTATTTTACAGTAAGTCTGTCTTTAAAATGATAGATAAATGCAAACATGGGAAAGATTAATAACTAATAACGTGCTGATACAGGGAACGGCCTGGGAGCAGCTACAGGGCGTACATCACGTATGCCTGAGAGCAACCCCGAGAGTCTGCTCGAGCACTCGAGGAATCTGCATATAATCAGCCTTAATCAAAACCACGGAGAACTCCCAGGGCTCTTCGTTCCACGGGACAACACATTTTTCGACAACCAAGTTGCGCCTTCCTTTTTCCACATCGCTCCAACGCAACCCAACACGAGGAGTGGCAGGAACCGTAGCCGAGAGGTTAAATTCTGTCCTGAATCCAAAAATTCCATTTATTGTCTGCAAATATACAGAGTCAAGAGCAACGCTGAATCACAACACTTACTTTCTATATCGTGACTGAGGGATTCAGCAATCGAAAAGGTTACCATAATAAAAATGCACGCTGTCATTTTTCCACTTAGAGATCCCCTGTACAACGCTCTTATTTAAAGGTCAGCTAATTTTGGTATGGAAAGCAACTAATAACCTTTATTAATCCTTAGGCTCGCAGTTTATCTAGCGCACCAACCAAATAAATAATACACTGAAGGAAGATGCAACACAAATCAAGCTGTTGGATGCAGTCTCTATTGCATGAGGAAAAAAAATAAAAAAAAAAAAATCTGTATTTGCAATAGAAAAAAGGAGGTCATTAGAAATTTAATGTATGGTTTTGTTTTGTTTTGTTTTTTCCACTGGAAATGACAAAGCATGTATAGACAGAGCTTTTTAGAAGCCAGGCTGCTCGTCCTCCCCCATGCTCCAACATGCTGAGACTACTGAACGAGATACTAAGTCCACTCATGTCCAAGCACAACCAAGAACCTCAACTGTTACACAGCACTTTTTCTATTTTTCTGGTTATTTCCTAAATTTGCGGGACATGTACGATACTGGAGAACATAACGAAGAATTTTGCTTACAAAGTTTTTCTGCTGTCTTTAGGAAAAAAAAAAAATGCCTGAACAATGTGAAAATATCAAAGTTAAAAATATGCGTATTTATATTTTATTCTCATGGCATGGCTTGTATGAGAAGGGCTATTAATGTCGCGCACTACATAAAATGACGCAAGGATATCCACTGGTTTATTAAGCATTTTTGTTTTACATAAGTAGATCAGAACGCAGCACTATTCATCAGCAGCCTTTACTAGCAGAGTGCTTTGGGTGAGTTTGTTCCTAAGAAACATTACAACGCTTGAAACTAAAAATAGCCCGCTATTTTTAGCTATTTAATCACACGAGGGGGGAAAAAAGGCACTCTTTCTGTCGGTCTTCTTTAATTTACAAAATAATTCCGTAACGCGCCCTTGCACCTTTATCACAAAACTCCCTGGCTCACAAGCTCAGGGCTCGCGCGCCGGCTGCGAGTGGGAGCAAAACGGGTTCGAAAAAGATTCCAGCAACAATGGTCTTGTGACTAAATCAGAAACAGAAGTAGAAGTCATGAGCCAAACAGATACCTATCGGTTTCCTTGAGCTTAATCTGATTAAAACATGGCTCTCAAAAATGTTAAATAGAATGCCACGTCAGAGAGCAAGCAAATGATAAAAATAGTTCATGACAGGAAGTCATTATTAAACCGGCGTTACTCGTGTATCTGTTATGGAACTTTCCCTGTAATTTTTCAAGGTTTCCCCTTATGCTTTTTCTGGAGTTGCCTTGTTACGCTTTTTCTTCCCCCCCTCGATGGTGTGTAAGTTTGAGATGTAAAATAGAAAATTATCACCACAATTTTCCAACTCTATTCTATCTCAAGTGTCATACAGCATCTTGTCATTCACTTTAACAAGGAATCACATAATATTCAGAGGCAGAAAATTAATCTAAAATAGGCAAGTGGCACTACGTCAAAAACACACGTGGCATCACAGGAGAAGAAAAAAAACATAACAAATTAATCTTAATTTCAAGGAGTTCAATAATGAAAAGATCTTTAAAAATATTCAAGTAGCAGGAAAAAAAATCTAGGAAAAGCTGCAAGGAATGACGGGCGAGCTGTTCTAGAGTCCAACAGAAATTAAAACAACAAAAGCGTTGATAATAAAGTACCAGAGATCAACCTTCATGTTTTAAAGAAAGTTTACACAAAGCAAATAAAATTCAGCTCCCTAAAAAAAGAACATAAACTCTTGATTACTATCCTTCCTGCTATTACCACCCCTCTCACAGCCACCCTCTGGATTATTGTGCCTTTAGAGAAGTTCATAAAATAAAAACTTGCAGCATCTTGTCCTGCTGCTAGTTACAGGAGCCAGAAAAAAGCTTTCACCAAAAAAAAAAAGAAAAGAAAAAAAGGAAAAAAATATGCACACAGAAGGAAAAAAGTACTTTAACAAGGCTAACTCAAATTAATAAAAAACTAGTTTGAAAAAGGAAGTGAATTCAACACACTGCAGCAGCCACCCCAAAGCCCCTTGGCTTCTTGTGGAAGAAAAGAAGTTGTAGATGCAATTAGTTGTCTCACTGAAAACAAGTATTTAATCCCTAACCATGGTTCAGGAAGAGCCTGGATTTGTCTGACCACCCGTGGGCTGCCTTCCCAGCAGAAGGACACCCAACCGCCCCCGAGCCACTTCTTGCCCTCCCCGCCGCCGTGCGTAGACACTCAACAACCGGCAGGTTTTTTTTTAAGTCAAACTCGGAATTATTCACTCCTGGTGCACTGCAGGACAAGCACATGACATGGGGAAACAAAAGGGTTCTTCAGAGACCCATCTAGACACAACCAAGGCTGGTCTTTAATCAGGATCCAAGTGCTGCCCCCCTAAAATTGAAGGGTGACAACGCATCATGGGAATAATGACAGTTTTTAAAGATAGTAGAGTCACTATAGGTGTCGCAAGCGTTTCCTTGATTTTTGTCCTGGGTGTTGGTGTATTCACCCTGCAAGAGCCAAGCTATGTCTGACTCAGCATTCCAGGGAACGTGCATCCTATTTACAGCAGCGCTTAAGCTTTATTCCATAAAGAGTCTTCCAAGAGCACTCACATCTATTCTTCTTAATATCCCTCCCCACATTAAGAGAAGATTATCTAATACAGGGAATAATCAGCTCATGGTCTTACTACAGTCATCCTCCTTGACAAAGCAGGAGGAGGAAAAAAAAAAAACCAAAACGCTCGACTGCAAAACATTAGAAAGTCGAGGTTCAAAGCAACCACATTTACTGAGATCAACGCAAATTTATCGAGACCTCGACACCACAAGAGCGAGAGCTGGCTCTTGATGTAGAAATGTCTCTGCTGCTCAACTCAAAGCCCGCAGCTCTGCCAGGACACACACAATGTCACAGCCCGAAATGCCGCGAAGAAAAGGCGGTGAAGGTTAAACCAGAGATGGCTGTAATGTTCATTTTAACATTTTACCATGCCGGAACACAGTAAAACACAGAAATCAAAGGAGTATGGAGAGTCAAGATGAACTAAGCTGGAGTCACCTGCAAACCAGTCTGCAAATGGTGCCTGAAAATACTTCGAATGCTCTTAAAAAGGGATCAGCTAACAAGAGAAATTCCAAAATCCTGAAGGGTGTGCAATTTTGCCTTCCCTCGCTCCCCAAGCCTGCAGCAAGGACACAGAACGGCAAACCGTCAGGGCAGAAGGAAGAGAGCTCACTTTTTTCACCACAAGTATGTTGGCAATCAAGAAGAAATACTGGTTTTTCCGACCAATTTCTCAATAAACATCAAAAATTACCAAAATTATACTATCATGTCATCTAAAATGCTGTCCTGCCATCAGAATTAAATTGCTGCTTAACTCACAATACTGATATAGAAGTATAGGCTAATAGATTATCAGTGTTTTATAGTACTAATAAGAGCAGCAATACCAGGTGTGCCCATCCAGGTGAGAACCAAATGGGTAAAATTCAAGCAGTCCCCCCCAAATTGGTGCATATTCGCTCACAACATACCTTCCCTCATTTAACAGCCCTCCTCAGATCTGTTTTGTCTATGTTACCCTAGGAAGTAAGACATGCAAGAGGAAAAGAAGCATTCTTCTGGTTCTCAGGAGCAAAATCATGTACGTGTAGAGTTCTACGGAGGGCCAGAACACCTCCCAAGGCTAAATGAGTCACCCACTTTGGAAGAATGACCTGTAATTAAAGAAGAATCTGCAAATATCAATTTCAACTGACGACACTGAAGGGAGAAGCTTCCGACGTACAAAAACCATCGATACATCATACAATGGGGTCGCTTGCAAAATAACCTCTCACCTCAGGAAATTCTTCTCTTTAAGAAGCCCAACAAAAACAATCGAAAATATTGCCAGAAATTTCAACCCTGTTCCATAAACTGCTTGAAAGACATGACATCATGCTAACTACCTAGACCCGTCTGGTTGATACGAGTCCCAGATTTCAGGCTGAAGACTAAACTGCAGGAGAGCAGAAGGGTGCAAATCTACAGGTCATCACAGGTGCTGAACCACAAACCTGACTCGCCAAAGCCTGCGCTGACACCCCAGCAAATATAGAAGGTCTGGCAGAGGCTGACAACACAAAAAACAAATCTTGCAGTATTTTTGTCTTCTTCTCAGTCTCCTTGAACTGGAAGTAGGACACCTTTCCTTTAACTGGACCAGACCTAACTGCTCCATCCTCTAGTCCCTGCATTCCCAGCTCTGCTTTCCTATTCCTGGGCATATTTGCTGCTGTGTTAGCAAAATAATTAACAAGCTCCATGCCCTGGTGGGGCACCATTGTCTATGTTCTACCAGTTCCCACAGCAAGCCACATCTCCCTTTCCTCCGTGGTTTCCTCTTCCATGTTGCTAGACCTGAGCTGTATGATCTTAAGCCGTTTTATACAGCTCATTTCTACACCTTACTCACCTAGAAGTATCTGCCCACTTTCCCCTTTCTAGCTCTTCACCATCGCCAAGTGCCAAGGACTTGGCAACCCAACACTCACAAATCAAGCTTCAAAGAGGCAATTCTGAATCGTCTTGACTCAGGTTGAGACAAGAAGGGGCAGGGACCCCCAAATGCATTGCTCGGCGCTTCTGCGGGAAGGAGCAGATGGGCGACCTCCAGATGGTCGCCAACCTCGTCTCACCGATTTCAACATCTGCACCTTGGATTCCATCTCAGAGGACAGTCCTGAGACAGACCGCAAGTCGCTGCCCACAGCTCCTGGCTGCACAGCCTCACCACAAGCCAAAGCATTTTGCAAAAATGCAGAGTGACAAGCCTGAAAAAGGTTAAGATTAATTAAAGTTTGTAGCAGGGCACTGCTGATAAAAAAAGCTCAGAAGTAGATATTATAGAGAAATCAATCTTAAATTTTTATATATATATATAATT